TTCCAAAATAATACATCACTATGAGGAGATCGACCGCCTCTGTGGTCTAGTGGTCAGAGTTCCTGGATACAGATCCAGAGGTCCGCGTTCAGTTCCAGGCGCTACCAGATTTTCTGCGAAGTATTGGGTCTGGACGGGGCCCACTCAGCCTCGTGAGAATGATTGAGGATCTATTTGAAGGAGATAGCGGCTCCGGTCTAGAAATCCGAGATTAACGGCCGTGAGGATCTGTTGTGCTGACCACGGGACACCCTCTATCCTCAAATTTGGCACTAACTTCGCCGACAAGCGGCGGTCGCTCAGTCGGTATAGTTTGCTTGCGGACTATAGGCCACAGAGTTTTTGTCTTTTTTATGAGGAGATCACTACCACCTCATATTTCACACATTTTTTGGCCAGGTTACAACAAAAATTTTGCAAGAATGCACTTACTAGTTTCGCTATATGTGTCCGTCTCTCTGTCCACATTTAACAGATGGAGAACTGTTGAAGTCATTTGCTTCATATTGGGGAATTTTACTCAACTTTGTTGAAAATCATCGAGCTTTACTCGCTGATTATTTATGGAAGAGAAGAATACAGGCATTTGGAACAGAAATTATATGAAAACTGAAACATATATTTTATGCCGTCCCCCCCCCCAAAAAGCGGCATTTGTGAAGGGAAAGTACTTGCGGGAACTGTTACGCTATGCGTACGTTTCTATACCAAAAGTGAACACTCTTAAGAAACACTGATAGACCTACAGGACACGGAAACATGTATCACAGTGACATTCACAACGTATATTTCAGACTTTTCGAGGTATTAAATATTTAACAAAATAACAAGAAGAGAGATTTCTGACCTCGCGGAGCAATATGGTTAGCGCGATTGGCTTTGTGACAATAGATTTATATCTGAAATAAACGAACATCGAAACAATTGAAATGTGTTGGATAAAAATGGATTTGCAGATTATGGAACAGCGTATGTATTTCTACTCTTATCTTTTGTTGATTTCGGAAATTACTTTCCAACTGTAAATTTGACATGACAACAGATGCCATATTTTCTTTTCCAGTGTCTTTACTTCATCATACGATTTATATTAAACAATGAAGTTTGATCTGTAACAAAATGACAAAGGAAATTAAAGAAAATTGTTTCAATTGTAGCCGACCATAGTGGCCATGCAGTCTAAAGCATGAAGTTTCTTCTCCCGCTCGAACACTAGGATTGTGGGTTCGAATTCCACTCAAGGCATGAATAACTGCCTGCGTTTATTCTATGTTTGCGTTGTCCTGTGTAGGTAGCGGCCTTGCGACGGGCTGATCCCCCGTCCAAGGGGTCCTACAGACTGCCTTAGATTAAGAAACTGAAGTGAAACGAAGCGTTTCGAGGATGCCCTCTGCTATAAATTGGAGTAACAGGAATAAATAGATAGATAGATTAGATGGATGGATTAATTTGTAGCTCGTGACAGGGATGGAATCCTGGACGTCACGTGAGTCGTCAATTTCTTTCGATTATCTCCACTCCCATTCGTGTATCATGAAAGTTCAACCCGTGAAATGTGAATTGTATAGATTTCGACCCACTGGGTTTCTTGTATATTTAAAATGGATAAACTTTACCGATATGACACCTGGAATTCATCTAAATAGTACTTAAAAATTCAGTTCATTCTTCATAGGAATGGCAGCTTCCTACAAATATCAACCGGCTAATGCTCTTTAGGAGAATAATTTCTGTACATTACGAGAACTTTATATAACACTCAAATACGTTCTGTGGGAAGAACGCAAGGTTTTAAAAATTAAAGCAGGTAGTCAAGATAATTACTGCTGTATCTTTATGGGTAACTTGAACCGATTTCCTATTGTAGTTCATTGGCTTCTGGTACAAACTTCAATTGTACATACGGCGTCTGCCAATTTATGTAAGAGCTCTTACATGCCTTGGCGATGACAATGTGCTTTGTAAACACCAGCTGTCGATACCTTGTCTTCTGACTGACTTCACTCCTCCTGGCTTCTCCATCCATCCATCTATGGCTCTACAACCATTTTGTGGCGTTGGCCGCGTTTCAAATTTCTTGATCTTTTTACACAGTCCATAGGACTCCTTGGACGGAGGATCAACCTGTCACAAGGTTGCTACTTGTACAGAGGACAGCACAAACACAGAAGAAACGCACACACAAACATCCATATCTCAAGTGGGATTCGATCCCACGATCGCAGTATTCTATCGGACGAAGACAGTTCATGCCTTACACGGCGCGGACACAGTGATCGGCTCCTAGCTTGTCTAGTCCAAGCAAAAGAATATGGAAAACCTGCCTGTCATATGACGACACTGATGGGTTGTTGCCAAAGTGTGTGCCTCGCATTTGGAAGGTCTAATGCCGGTTTAACGCCCGTCGTTAAAGGTCAAGATTTAGTAATTCAGGGTGTTTGTGTTCTATTTCACCTTATCCCAGCCTATCCTCTCTATCCATCGGTCTTTCTGTTTACAAGTCTTAATGTAACGACAGTAGAAAACATTTTGAAAATATTCAAATTAAAACTCTTGGTAACGACAGTAACATACGAAATTATTTTCATGATGTGTTTGAGAAGAGATAAAATTTTGAAAATCCTAACAACTATTCAGGTTAGGACTTTTGGAACTTTGTGTTAAATTTTTTTTAGACCTATGGTTAAGAAAAAACCATGGTGTTCCATAGAATTTGGTTAGGGCTGGAACTTCGTAACTTATATTCGTGGAAGAACATAGTGGGAGATCGATAGTGTGCGGGACCAGGGCGCCGAAGAGAATATTTGAATAGACGCGGAACGAAGAAGCAGAACAGTAGAGAAAGCTTCATAATCGCTCTTCCTCTTACCTAAATATGTTTAGATCCATTAAAACGAGAAACACAAGGACGGAGCATGCAGCTCATGCCTTGTCGGCAGAAGATTCAGGAGAAACCTCGAGAGAAGTAGCAGCTTGCGTCATGCACACGCAGAAGGAAGGATCGCGTCAGACGGATCCTGCAACTAACAGGGTACGGAGCGGCGGATAGGATTTCGTTCAGGATATGTTCAGTGAGGGTTTCAGCAACACAGTGATGGACACAGAATGGGAGTGCCTGAGAGGAATATTTGGATCTAAACGGGAGTAAGTAACAGGGGGTTGGAGAAAATTTCATAATACGGAGCTTCATAATTTTGTACTCTTAATCAGAGTTTGTTAGGATAATTGGATTACTGAGGATTAGATGACCGTCAGATGTGACACGCACAGGAGTTCAGAATTTTGTCGGAAACATGACGGGAAGAGACTTGTTAGAAGATATGGGCGCAGTAAGCGTTAGTGTCGTTGGTTGAGGCACTATGCTACAAGCCGGAAGGTCGCGGGTCAACCCAGCCTCTAACAGAAATGAGTACCAGGAAAATTTCTGGGGTAAAGGGCGTCCGGGCCGCTCACGGTAGTCGAGCGGTCTTCGTTCGCTTGGAAACCGGGATCGTGGGTTCGAATCCCACTCAGGCCATGGATGTTTAGTTTGTGTGTGTGCGTTTTTCTGTGTTTGTGTACAGGTAGAGGCCTTGCGACGAGCTGATCACCCGCCCAAGGAGTCCTACCGAATGTGTAAGATCTAGAAAAACAGAAGTGAACGGAGAAGTTCGTGGAGGTAGGCCTAGGCCTACTGGGGCTGTAGTGCAAAGGGGAAAAAAAAAAGGGCGTCCGGCGCGTAAGTCTGACAACCTCGCCGCCATCTCTGAGCCGATTGTCTAGACAATGTGGGATCCTCGACGTCTTACAACCCTATGGGCCTCCACAGCCAGTTACAGGGGTAGCTTTACCTTTTCTACCTGGTTCAGAATAGAGTTCCATGACTGCCAGTTTTGAACACGGCAGTAAACGTTCGGGTTCCAAAAAATAATGGGATATTTCTTTGATGACTATTAAATTACTCAGATAGACTCCGCTCGGTGGAGCGACTGAGTGAGTTAGTTATGGACCACACGGTTCTATAAATGCCAGAAATTTCTCGACCTTACCTTTGGAGACGTCAAGGACGACGCTGTGCCTCGATATCGAAATTAATCCGGATTCATAGCAAATTCCATTCAAAGTTCAGCAGAGCTAGCAGAAGCAGGCCCTGTCCGCGCTGCCATTAAGTACGATGCGTGCTGGGGTGTGTACGCATATGAGAGACACGCACGGCAATGAAATATGGCCCATCAGGCTTGATATAATAGCTCGAGGGGGAGAGGGAGGTAACGAGATTGTTATACATACAAATTGTGCGTCAAAGCCCGTGGTTCAGGACGGTAGCAGATTCGAAGTAATGAGTGCCGAGGGAAATGGGCTGTGCGGACGTAATCTCTTTTCCAAAAACATCAACCTTCTCTACGACTTACCAAATTTTAATTAATTTTATGGGTTTTAGACTTCGTTAAGTTTTCATAGTTTATTTATTTGTTTGTGTGGGATTTGAGGTTATCACAGGCGTAGTTATGAAGAATTCTGTCTCCTGGAATATAAAGCCTCTTACTGCCTGCCTTATGCTTGACTTATATTTCAGCCCTCAAGTTGAAAGGAACACAATGTTTCGAAACGTTGGCTGACTTTCAACAGGCTGCACTGCAGATAGAACGCTACTTATCTGTGACTTACTAACTTCTAAATAGCTCAGAATATATAATAACGAATTTTGAACGGAAAATGATGTGGAGATAAGAGGCACTTTTTTAGTTCTATATACTGCTTGATGCATTCACCTGGAGGATCTGATGGAAACTGCGAGTCAGCACAGTAGGTTTTCACATCTCCCGAAGGCGAAGTAGATTGAGAGGACTACGACGTGCCTCGAACTTTATATCTGTATTGCTATATATGCGTATACCAGTAAATAGGCTTAATTAAGACTACTGTTATCAGCCTGCATAAGTGGTTGGGATTGGTGCAATAGTCGTAACCCTCACCGAGGTTACCACTGTCCTTCATGCTGAACTTAGTTAGTTAATTACCCTTGGTATATATCCTTTAACTCTTCGCCATTGTAGATGCTCCCAGCACCAGCAGAGGCCGGAAATGTGTAGCGATTCCCTTGGTAACGCACAGCTGAGAGACAGGCTGGAGAATGCAAACCGCACGACCAGTTACAGGCACGGTTGACGACGTAAAGGAGCGTCATCAAACCTGGAGACGTCATGAAAATATAATGCGTCAAGACAGGGTTTTTTATTGCCAGTGGGTTGGGACCACTAAGTCCCTTGTACTGCGGCCACTTCTGGCCTATTGTACCAGCCCCAGATGATAGGTGAGGGTGATTGTGGAGCAATTGGTGGAATGAAGATTGGCAGAGGAAACCGAAGTACTTGGAGAAAACCTGCCCCAGCGCCAGTTTGTCCACCAAAAATCCCACTTGACCAGATCCGGGATCGAACCCGGGCCGCCGCGGTGGGAAGCCAGCGACTAACCGCTTGAGCTATGGTGCGGCCTTGACAGACGGTTAATAGTTTATACATATTAACCCAGATAAAAAGAGATAGAGGAAAACGTAGAAGTGGATGAGAAACTTGATTTACTTTTATACTCTCAAAACTGGCTTAAACCATACAGCCCTTGTGGAGGATGCAGATGAAGAAGAAAAAGAAGAAAGTGTCATGTATTACTGACCTGAGTTAGTAATACCACAGAGGAGATGCTGGCAGACATAAGCCTAACCTCGGTCTTATAAACGTGGTTGTTTGATAGAGTAAATTGGATTTACCCTCCCAGTGTTTAAGACAAACAAATAATACAAGCAGGCACTGAAGTATGTGTAATCCGAGAAAGGAAGTAGAAGGAACAAGAGAAAGAATATTATGAACACATTTTACGAATTGATGGAGAAAGACTCCCAAAAATCTAATTTAGTAAGAAACCGACAGGACGCAGTGGTACAGGAAGAACCAAGAAAAGATGTCGAGATGAATTCAGCTGAAAAAGAGATCGGGTCAGATGGCCTAACCCTTAGAAAAGAAGAATAAGAAGTTTAATATTTTGGATAATCTAGAAGAGACCGTCGAATAATGACACGTGTGTTATTTCTTCCTATAAAATGTGTTTGATTTGGACCGTGCATGCAGACTGTTCCTCGCACGGAATGCGAATTATCAGTTCACTCGGCATTGCCTTCTGCTAGGATCCGATTTGCTTTCTTTAACCCATATTTCCCGGAATTTTCCCCCTCTGCTTTACTCTGTCTGCTGAGCAAACTAATACTTAATTTATTTTCGTGCATGGAATGTGTCGTTCCTGAGACAGGATGGCTCCACGTCACCGGCGGGAAAACCAATGGAAAGACGGAGGAAAGCGTGAAAATGCCTCCTGTGGCTGTCTTACTGCTGCGTCTGAATGTGAATATATCGGCTTCAAGAACGGAAGGGCTAATGTTTGGTAGTAAGTAATATAGACAGCGGCCGGAATAGCGTCTGGCTACGGGTTGGACGACTGAAAGGTCGAAGTTCAAGTCCCGGTGGAGGTAAGAATTTTCACTTCTCCATGTCGTCCAGTCCGGCTTTGGGACCCAACCAGCCTCCTATCCAATGGGTACCGAGGGACGTTTCCCCGGGGGTAAAGCGGAAGGAGCGTGAAGCTGACCACTCACCTCCAACTAGTGTCGAGGCCAAGAAAAGTGTGGATTTATACATCAGCTCCCCCATACGCCTTCATGATTTAGTGCTTAATTAGTTAAGCACAGGGCCAACTTTACCTTTTTACTTTCAGTAAGTAACATAAGCACTTCTCATTTAGTATCGTTCCCCAGTGCGAGCCGTCGAGAATAACCTGTGTTACGAATGCCATGCTGAGGCAAATATCATGATGTTTATTTCCAGAAGTCTGTTTCAATCATGTATTGCACTGTGGTCGTTATATACATACATATCCTCGTTTATCATTAAAAATCCCAGCATTTTGTACACAGAATGTGTTTATTTATATTTTTAATATTCATGTAATAACTCTTGTTAAATGCAGTGGCGGTACTGGCTAGGTGGATGGGCTTTGTAATGAAGACTCATTATATTTTATACGAGACAGGAACTGAATTAATGGTTTAATTTGGATGAATTTCGGATATTAAAAATTAATATTACGTTTATTTCTACATATTGATGTACTGCATTTAATCTCTCCTTGAGATTTCCAACTATCGTATGTATCATATTTTCTAGTGTTAATGACTAGACAAGGAGTGTGGGGTGGTAACTGAATTTATTCGAACCTTATAATTCTGAAATACAGGTAACCGTATTAGTTTTACGGATCTATGCACTTTAAAATCATTGTACTGTAGCACATATAAAGTCTTCTATGTCTTCACTGGCCGTTGCCTGGTAAAAGCTCTAACAACAATATTGTAGCGTATATAGCTGTTGGTATGCAACGATAGCGAGAAGGAACATGCGTTGCTTGGTAAAGGCCGGTAAACACGTCAACTATACCCGGCTATCGCTAGGTAACTGCTCGATAAACGTGTTCATGCGGAAACCGTTTCAATGCAACGGCGAGGTAAGCACGCCTCTATATCAATAGAAGAATTGGTAGAAAAGGTGTTTTCTGTGTGGGTCGCCCGGAGGCTATATAACGAGGATCTGAGACAGCCGAGAGAATGGAGGGAGTCTCTTGAGACGGCAGTTGAAGATCATTGAGAAGAGACTGCAACTGTGAGTTGAGTTTCGAGACGCCAGCCTGCCGGGATATGTGCTGGGGAGTGGAGGAGTTGAATTGAGGAGCTGAAGCATTAGACTTCTTGAGTGCAGTTCAGTGGAGTTGAAAGTGTGGCTGTGAAGAGAAGACTTTATGTGTGCTATAGTACCGCGATATTTTGAATGTGTAATTCAGTGAGATTTCCAGGACTTAATACCGGGGTTGAACTCCCTAAATCCTAAACGATTTCTCTTTTCGACATAATTTCCATATCAGCTCTGGACCCATACAACATTCAATTTAATATTGTGGCATTTAGACCCGTTGCTAGGCAGCGACTACTAAATAGACTGTATAGCGGCTGTTGCTATGCAACGGCCCGCAAACAACAGAGGAATGGTATTTTCTGCGCGGTCCGCTAAGCAACAGTTGCACAACAAAGAAACGGTGTTTTCTGTGCGGTCCTTGCCGAGATGTTATAAGCAGGACAACTGGAATAATGAGTTAGTTGTGGGACAGTTGTCATCCGGTTAGAACGTAAGCACGGAAGCGGAGGACATTGTTGGATCCGTCACCACGCAACGACTTGTGAAGACACAGAAGGCTGAGAAGAATTCTTCCCTGCTTTAGTGAATTGCAGAGTGTGTGAATTGGCGTTAGCGCTATAGTTTTTTTATTATTGCTAGTGGGGTGGGACTAAGTCCCTTGTACTGCGGCCATTTCTGGCCTATTGTACCAGCCCCATGTGATAGGTGAGGGTGATTGTGGAGCAATTGATGGAATGAAGATTGGCAGGGGAAATCGAAGTACTCGGAGAAAACCTGCCCCAGCGACACTTTGTCCACCACAAATGCCACTTCACCAGACCCGGGATCGAACCCGGGCCGCCGCGGTGGGAAGCCAGCGGCTAACCGCGGCCTGAGAGCTATAGTTACTTGTAGGTATGATCTGTTAGTGGTCAATAAATCCAATCACCATTCCAAACTCCGTCACTAGTCACACTCATGCACCTGAGAGTATGTACCGGGGATAAAGTGACAGAATCATATAGCCGCCCCCCCCCCATCTCCATTTTGTTCCGATGTTAAAAATGCTTGGATCTTTAAAGTCACGCCTTCCGTAAGTCTCCCCGGTGTGAAGCTTTCATGCAACGAAACGCTGGCAGTGTTATACCAGAAGGCAGTAATCTTCAGCAATTTTGACAATTTTTATGAATCTGAGGCTTCAAAGTGTTTAAAATGGCGTGTTCAAAATTACTTGTATATTCGATACTAAGACGGCTGAAGCAAGTGAAGATCTTACAGATTTATAGGGCCCCTTTGGCAGGCTGTTGTTAAGGCTATGGGCTGGTGTTGTACTAGTAACCAGAATGGAAGGGGCAAGAAATTCATACGGAACTTTGGCGAGAGAATATTGGAAAGCTGTCATTTGGAAGATGGCAGGATCATATCTGGGGGATATGGATTATGAAAAATACAAGTTACTTACTCCTTAGCTACACGGTCCTCTAAGAACCTTTGGCCTCCCTTGCTGTAGATTACCGTTCTCTATTGTTTGCGTTTTGCCTCCATCTCATCACTTTCAGCTCTCGTAAATCATTCTCTATGTTTTCTGGCCGTCTCAATCTTGGCCAGAGATATAGGTGACTCAGGATGATGTCTTTAGCGGTGTTCAACATTCGTCTGATACTTCTAGACAGCCTATCAGAAATGATACACTTGCCTCATTGCACACTAACGTTCATATAGAGCATTTGCACCAGTGATACATGGAAATGCCAGTTTATTCAGACTACTGTGGGAGAAATATTATTACATTTCTGTATGAAGACTGGTGCGGGATAGTGCTGATAAACTCCTTAAACGTAAACTTCTGCTGCTACTTACATACACATCCTTCCATTCCAGAGTACGCGGTATTGTGTTTGGTTCAGACACTATGCTACAAGACGGAAGGTCGCGGGTACGAACCCTATGAGGTGGATTTTTCAATTTACTTAATCCTTCCAGCCGCACTATGGCCCTAGGGTCGACTTAGCCTCTAACAGAAATGAGTACCAGGAATCCTCCTGGGGGTAACTTGTGGAAGCCTCGATGTTTCACAACCCTATGGGCCTTCAGGACCTGTCACAGGGATAGCTTTGCATTTTACCTTACTCTTCCTTTCCTATTTTTTTTTCTGTGGCGCTACAGCCCCAATTTGGGCCTAGGCCTACCTCCATGAAAGTCTCCGTTTCACTTCGGTGTACTAGATCTTACACATTCGGTATGACTCCTTGGGCGAGTGATCAGCTCGTCGCAAGGCCTCTACCTGTAGACAAACACAGAAAAGCGCACACAAACATCCATGCCCTGAGTGGGATTCGAACCCACGATCCCGGCTTCCGAGCGAGCGAAGACAGTGCATGCCTTAGACCGCTCGGCTACCATGACCGGCTCCTTTCCTATTAGTCAGGGATACAATCATTCCCGTTAAACGCTACCCCGTATAAAGCGGATTATTTA